CAGCTTGGTCTTGTAAGCTGGAGTTCTCGGCTTCGATCAATGCCTGTTGGATAATGGATGTGCACTGCATTCAAGTGTCCGAAAAACAAGGATAGAACAGCTATCCAGTGCTCCCGGCTCATTGGTTTCCAATGAACTCTCTAACTCATGTTAGTCGGTTAGTGACGAATATCTAACAACACTGAAATTAATTCAAGCTCCTCACAAATCTTCAGAAAAATTTAGCTGAATGAAGAACCTGTAGGATTTCGTTATACCGAGGACAAACAAAATCATTCGAACAAGTGTGACTGAATCACGTAATCAATAAGTATATAGGAGAAATAGAGGAATGAACGGGGATGTCATCCTTATGGGCTTTCAAATAGAGGCCCTTCTCAGTGTCCTCTTCATACGTATGCCAGCGTATATATTGTTATGGGCAAAGTTAAACAATATTCATCCACAGATTGGTAACACATGACTAAACTTGAAACAATCAATCACAAAGCCAGTGTCTTTTACACAAATATGAAGTTAATCAACAACAGAAATACTGAGAATAGTGACAAAACTCATTAGACAGAAATTTTTCCCTGATATGACCTGAAAATATTTCCCAGTTATAACGACGAGTATCATATAATTTAAGATAGACCAGATTCTGTACATATATTCATCAAGTTGACTGAAGATCATTTCTTATCCGGTTTTCCATTATTCTGAGAAAACTGTCGATTGAGATGGTATGAGTTCCAGTAAGCGAATCGATAACTTCAGATTTTGAATCTGTCTGAATCTCCTTGACATTCACTTGTTGAATGGGTTAAAGGAATCTTGAGTTCTGTTAGGGAAGGAATCTCAAGGCATCCCCTTCAGAACCAGTTTGAATTCATCGACTGCACTAAAGAATAAAGAGTAGATGACAGAAGTGTGATTTCACTCGATGTCAAATCAATTTTGATGAATGTCGAAATTAAGCAAACGATACTGGGAAGACAGCAACTTGAATATTTGGAATACAGACTCCTCAGCTAAAACACATTCCCATCAAATGCACTCTGGACGTCCAAATCACGGCCAGCGGTGTTTTCTACAGAAGGCAAGATGTCGTAGCTATGTGATCAACATCATGTCGGATACTTGCATATATCTTTATAACAAGTTTAGGAAATCGTTCTAATGAAGGAGATGCTTTGTGGGACACTGGTCAGATCAGAATATAGAAAACCTGAGCAGAACAGCCGGTTGACAAACCTCTACGATTGCATACCCATGAGTTGCTAGTGACGAGGATTCAAATGATCTGCAGTTCTGAGTCGATATGTGAAGAGACTGCTACTTCAACAAAGAAACTGATTAAAACTCCCCACCATCCAGGATTCAAAGGCGAACACATAGCACCCAAAATCAACATGCAAAACCACACCACGGTCCTGAAGAAAGTCCTGTGAATGAATGTGGCGATCTTCCGCTGAAGAATCTAAGGAAGAGGATATCAAATGCTTTGAAGTGAACATTGGTTGTTTGTACATCAAGATTGATATTCTCATGTTGCACACATACAGACAAACGTGCACACTGACGATTTGACATGAGTCATTACAATTATATGATGATTACTTCTATTTTTGTGTTGGTACAAATGCCTATCGACAAGGAACCTTCAAATTAACTGAATTCCAATAATGTAATTTTTATAAGGAAAAACACATTCGCTTTTGTTCAGCGAAGAAATATTTCTTCTCAACGACTTCATTTTCAAGAAGCTGTAGATTTGTGTCGATATAATATGGAGAGGGGTATTAGGTGGCACTAGAAATTGCTCAGTGGTCAATTTTGTACATATGGTAAGAATAAAGATAATTAAAATGATGTACTACTAAGGGGTACAGTTGAAGTGGATGAATAAAAAAAACTTTCGAGGATTGTTAAATAAGTGAGATGGTATAAATATTCTAACGTTGGTCATAGTAATGTTCTTTCATTTGATTCTACCTAACCACTTGAATCCACCCTCGCCGACTTTATTGTTATCATCATCGTATTCTCAATCTTTTCAGAAAACAACTGACCTTCAATGTTTCTAAACTCATTAATTCTACTTCATTTCTAGGTGAGTGTCGCGCACAGTCTACGTTCATTCTCTCTGATCTTCACCTGTCTACTTCTCTAGCCTACATAACAGGCCTCACGTCTCATTAGTGACTGATTACATTTTTCAATAACAAAATTTGTAAAGACTATCTAATAAGAGAACTCGCATAAAGATTTTAATAATGTAGGTCAGGTGTTGTCTGGAAAATTCAGAATACGATGGTGATAACAATAAAGTCGGCGAATATGAATTGAGATGGAGTGAATTTAAGTGGTAAAGTAGAGTAAAATAAAAAATTAGAACATCACTATTACCAATTTTTAAATCATTCTACTCTCAGAAAACAGATCTTGTTTTGATTTTCTCCTAAACACGCTGGTGTTATTTTAAACAAGAATTTATAATGAATCGATATGACTCGGCGCTCAAATTATTCCAGGAAATTCTCAACATCTCCAGTCTGAATTATAACTCATAAAGACAGTAAAATCCTAAGTAGAAAACATTCATTACTCTGTGACTTGTGAGGCTACAATAAATCACTCCCCACAACTTGATGAATCTGATGACTATTGACAATAAAATATTAAAAATAAAATGCACGAGAAGAGAACAGATTATGGAATTAATTCTCCGACTGTCACATCAATACTGTCTCTGAATGATAATTTTTCGGTTTGAAAAACCGCCAACGAAAATCTACTTCTCCATTGTACTTGGAATAGTATTTTCCCTACAAGAAACTATTCAGTCAGCATGTGAAAGGCAAGCGAACTCATTGGCTCACATCTCAGTATGCTTGAGTAATAGCTGATTGACTTGACAGTACACTGTGAGGTGAGGAAGATGCCTCACCACTAACAACAACAGCGACAACAACAACAGCGACAACAACAACAGCAAAGCATCAGTTGTCGACAACGGGAGAAATGTGAAATAATTGACCTGTTCCACCTATGTAGGTAGAGTCATTTCAACTAAAGGAGACGACAGAAAGGTAGGACTGGAAGAGCAAGATAGACTAACCGTCCGTCAAAAATCTGAAATCAGTTTGCACATCCGCTGCAAAAAATATAAGGAACATAATCCATATCGTCAAAGCAAATGTCAAGTTATTCAGTGGACTAGGAAGGGTATATCAAATAGGCTGCAAAATTCTATAAACAGCTGTCTTCAAGAGCCGGTTGAATACCTAAGATCAGATGACCAGACGGAGAGAATCCGCGTCAAGAAACTCTAGGAACGACCTGACGAAATATGCAGAATAAGACTGGAGATGGATTGGACACACACTGTGGAGACTTTCAGATGATACATAATAATACGTTCATTGTCGTCCAGTTTAGCGTTTCGCTGATTAGCTGGTAGTCCACAGTATCAGCTCTCGTTCCTGAAGATGAATAAAACTGTCAGGATACGTCACCACCCAGTGTTGACAGTCAGTTACTAAAACTACTTACTTCTAGACATGTCTTCTTCGGATTTCGAAAATATGCAGATTGTAAACTAACCCAGAATTGTTCGGATATCCTCATCAATCACCCAAATAATCATCTCAGTCAGAATAAATCTCACTAGACATTTGTCTACTTCATCCTCCCTAATTGTCAATACTTTCTCGAAGCAGATTCAACGTTACACTGTGTTATTACCAAGTTTATACTACTTGATACTGCTTCAAATATCTTGGGTATTCTTCAACGCAGGAAGGACGAAAGCACATTCCCATTTAACAGGCTCCCTCTTCGTCACAGTTTCAGAAAGTCTTCACCGCTGTTGAGTGGTGAAGCAGGGTGAGTGATACTGAGGTGAGGCGTGATGCAATCGGTGAGGAGGGTAAGTGAATCAATGCAGTTGGGGAGATAATTCTACTGAGATGGCTAGGCCACGAACTGTCCATGCAGATATACCATCTTCCTCGAAGACCCTTGTCAGCTGACATCAGATTAGGTTGGAAAATAGTTAGCAGTAGCCGAAATAAAATGTGTCATCAGTCCAGTGAGTCCTTCGATTGATGGTGTGAGCCATGTGAAGATGTGTAGACTGCCTCATTGGGTTCTTCAGGATGCTATTTCCTAAGTCCGCTAAATTTTCTCGTTACTATTCTTTCTCAATACACACAATTGATGTGATTATGAACAATAATAAATTGTGTTCGAAACCATGTCATCCAGTGAATAATACTGTTTCGCTGTGTGATATATCTGGTAAACACTGTTTATTTCCGGTCATACAGAGTAGCTGATACCACCCTGTATTTCCTTTTCTATTCCTTTGCGTGTCGAATGAAACGTGCGGCCTCAAGCTTCAGCTTTCAAGTTTCAGCAGCAGTGGCGTTTATTTTCAGCCACACATACAAACTTCCTTTCTCCATCGACTTTTTTAATTAATAATAATAATTTTTCCTTCACGTTCCAAGAGGAACATAGGGTTTCAAGCAAGTGGCTTGCAGTTTCTGTAGCAGTGTTTATTTTTACAGGATGCAGTTGCTAGCTTACTGCCAAACATTTCAACTTTATCAGCAATATTTCTGGCTTAACGAGGTGAAGGAGTGCGTCGTCCGGGAAGCGAACCCCGGACCATGTGCATAGTCGGAGTACGTCCTAATATCTGTGGAACTGACGCACCCATCGATTTTACTACCGGGTAAATGAGGTCTCGTAGATCGTCAGCCGGAAATCGAAACCCGGACTGTGGTCGGAGAGTGAGTGTTCTATCACTAAACCATCGACACATATTTGCCCTCTGTTCCACCACCCTACCTTCCTTACATCTAACCAAACTTAACCAAACTCAACTAAACTGCACCTATATTCATACACATTTACGAAGACTTAGAAAATAAGACAAGTTCAATTCATTTAGTTGCCTATAGAAAGAAATATTTATTTCGAATTAATCGTGATACATTTATGGGATAATATTAGGTGTACATGTTATCAAGTACAATAGTAAGAAAGAACAAGAGACCAGATGTTCTAGTGGTTTCAAACGTCTGTGAACAAGAAGCAGGATTCTTCAAGTCTACTTCTCGTATCTAAAAATAAATAAAATGATGAATGCATGAGAAGGAAAATAGAAATATCCTAATTAGATATGCTAGTCAACAAGACAAAGACATTTCAAGAGGCCATGAAAGAAGATATATATATACATCTTAGTAGATATCACGCACCAACTCACCATATTGGCTATATGCAACATAGTGCATAACGTCCCGAGGTAATAAATCCAACCAGCCTGAGCATTAATCCCAGCAATGAGAAAACACACTGTCATTCCCGTGTGAAAAATGGCCAAATATGATTTAGTTTTCTCTCCAAATAGAACGGCGGTCGATTTGACACCTATAAGGATGTCATCATTAACATCCTAGAAGGAAGAAGAACTTTACCAATGAACTACTTGCACAAACCTGATGTGCGTATATTGTGTCGTAAATCATTGTCCAATTGACGCCAGCCAGATACAGAGGAAATGTGATAGAAGGGTTAATATAACCCACAATGGCAGCATAGGCCAGCATAGCACCCCAGTTGACTGAAAAACCTATACAGAACAAATAAATGCAGTCTTTAACTTTAAAACCGAAGTGTAAAGGTGCTACGGGTTTTCTAGGCAATGATAGGCTAGCACATAAAACAAATATCCACCAGTCGATTACAGTCAAGCGAGCCAATTAACTCTCGAGAAGGAATTTTAAAAATCCCTGAGCGATAGTGGTAAAACACACAGATGACAAATTATCCTCACTTGATGAGAATATATAGTGCCGTAGGCGGGAGTTGAACACACTGCAGCCGAGTATAAAGAGAGCACACGGAGAAAAAAACAAAACCCATTTATTGCGGAATAGTCAAGTCAAACACCTCAGTTCAACGTTAAACATACAACACCACGCCACACAGAGGTCAGAAAATAATCCCATGATTCTTACCAAGAAAAAGTTGTGGCCAATATGTGAATCGTTTGAACAGGGGATATATAATAAGAGGAATCATAACCAGAAAACCTACAAATACACTTGAGGAAGTAACTTATTGCAATATCAAAACCAACCTGTACCAGCTCAATTGCAACAAGATCACAAATAAAACCAATAGCTGCAAGCCAAAAAATAAAAGAGCTTGACAGTTCGTTAGAGAACCAGAGGCCAAAGGACGGTTTTTTGTACGCTCAACAAGCCTATCATACTTCTGATCCAACACGTCATTTATGGTGCATGTAGAGCTTCGAAACACCATGCAGATAACACCAAATAGGGCTAACATGTAGAAGTCTGGTAGGTGTCCAGGTGGTGCAGCCATTGCGATTCCCCATGTGCAGGGAAGATAAGGAAACCAATTACCTATCGGTTTACCGAAACGACCAAGTTCGTAAAATGACTTAATCAAACTGGGGGATTTATTGGGCTGTCTCTCAGATGATTTCTGGAATTGTTCACTCTCGGTAGGTCTGAACCTAAGATTGTTTGGCGTTTCATCCACCATTGCAGAATGACGACTGAATGTCAATTAGTTTGATAGACGAATACTTGAAAATACAGTTGAGGTTCGTAAGGCAATGCTGTAAAGATACAATACACAAAGTTATATGTTAGTTAATAGGACCCACAGAAATTATTCAATTTGAAATCTTGCCTAATTTCCGTATTCTGAACAAAAGGAGGTATGAAGCTTACAAGAAATCAAACAAAGTTCATTATTTAGAAAATATAAACTGTCAAAAGAATTTCTACGTTGTGGAAGCCACTTTTGAAATCAACTAGGCACTCGAATGTTCACGTATGTGAATGATGATGACAATGGGTTTAATTATTTAATTTCTTTCTCTGGAGGGAGATGGATGAATATCGGGTAATGCATAGTTTAATAAGTTATCTTGTTGCTTGTGGAATTCTGCATCTGTTCTCTTCAAGTCCAAACAGGCTGTCATGCCTCGGCTTGCAATAATGTTTCATAGGATGTCCTGGGTCTAGTCGGTTCTTGAAGATCAACTTTTGGAAGACCTTGACTTTGGCTATGATACTGTGACTTCTCTCCATTCATCTGAAATATGCAATCATTCTTTTTATTGTGATGCATTCGTATTAAGGGCTGTAGCCATCCTTATTATCTGTATGCCATTGAATAGGTCATTCGTTTGAGTCGTGTGAATTTATACTGAACCAAAATCTGCTTTAAGTAAGGCGACATGACTGATATATTATAAAATCTATCAAAAGCTACTATACCTTTTTTAATCCCAATCGTCACGCGATGATCTGAAACGGAGAGTGATCACACAAGTCTCTCGTACTAGTAAGAACGAAGATTTATAGTCAAAGATTGTATTTGCAACCAATCGTCTTGGTTGACCAATCGCTGCACGCTCCTGTATCAAACTGAAATTAGACGATCATAGATGGCAAAGTTACACTTTAAGCACCACTAACTACCAATCAACGAATTATCTCGAACTCACCAATCACGTGAAGGAGACATTTTTGTGTGTGGAATACATAAAATTTATGAAACAAATTGATAAAGCTGTAGGAAAGTGTTACAGAGGATACCATCCTCTCGCATATGGCAAAACAGCCTTCATTTTCGATTGGAGTATCAACAGAGTATAATTCCATTGTGTGTAAAATTTATTTTGATGAAGTCTCATGGTGTAATATAGTAATATTTCCTGAGCAATAGTTTGTGCTCGAAAGTCAATCAGTAAATATCACTGTATAGTAACACCCTAAAACTTTAACAAAATAAATATTACCCACAATGGAATCATACTTTACCACAGTGGACAATTTCTATTCTTATATAAACAGACTAATTTAACCACACATTCTATTCATGTAATTATTTAGGTCTTCTTACCCTAACAATAACTCTAATCTCCTCTGAACCTAGCCTTAACGTGAAAATATCCCTAAACTAACCCTAATCTAACTTGAACTAGCCCTATTACCACATTTGGTAGGTTGACCTAACCCTAACTTGTTCTTGGCTCGTGAATCTGATGGATGATGGAACGGGAACAGTTCGATTGGTTGTGAAATGTTATTTGGTATGTTATTATATTTTATTTTTCTCAGTGAAATAAACTCTAGTCTACCATTAGAGCCTGATTTTATTGGCAATTTTTTCGAGTCAGCTCAGTTGAGGAAGCCTTATTGGTTCATATAAATTGCTCTGATTGACGAGTTCTTTCGGTCATTGACCACGCTAATGCGCTTTTAGTCAAAATCACTTGGTGAGGCAAATGTACATCAATCCATCCAGTCCCAAATGATATTATTAACAATGAACTGTGCTCGAAACGCCATTGAGGCACTACTATTCTATAATTTTGTTATTTCAAGTGGATCTGTCAAATGTTGAATTATGTTCTGTCACACCACCTAAGTTCTGCTATTACATCTAGTCCCAAGTTAGACAACGTGTTTGGGAACTACATGAATGGATGAGTAGGTGACATTTAGACGGGCTATAGACCACTGATGTGTGGTACATGTCATCAAGAGGCATGTGCTAAACCTGTCAACTAATATTCCTGGGCTGTTTCAGGTGTGGCGAGTTGATGTAGAGGTAACAAATTTTCGTTTAAATGAAGTATGTCATTGTGCTCTTCGTTAAAAAAGCATCAGAACAGCACTCTTAAAGGATGTGTTTCCGGTGACTTTTATTTTGATCTGTGTGACGCAACATGATATATTCTTTTAAGCTGCACTTGTGTAAAATCAGTTAAACTTGTAGATATTTAACACTGGGCTAACTTGTTCAAAAACTGTTTACCCGAAATTCATCCATCTCCCTCCAGAGAAAGAAATTAAATAATTAAACCCATTGTCATCATCATTCACATACGTGAACATTCGAGTGCCTAGTTGATTTCAAAAGTGGCTTCCACAACGTAGAAATTCTTTTGACAGTTTATATTTTCTAAATAATGAACTTTGTTTGATTTCTTGTAAGCTTCATACCTCCTTTTGTTCAGAATACGGAAATTAGGCAAGATTTCAAATTGAATAATTTCTGTGGGTCCTATTAACTAACATATAACTTTGTGTATTGTATCTTTACAGCATTGCCTTACGAACCTCAACTGTATTTTCAAGTATTCGTCTATCAAACTAATTGACATTCAGTCGTCATTCTGCAATGGTGGATGAAACGCCAAACAATCTTAGGTTCAGACCTACCGAGAGTGAACAATTCCAGAAATCATCTGAGAGACAGCCCAATAAATCCCCCAGTTTGATTAAGTCATTTTACGAACTTGGTCGTTTCGGTAAACCGATAGGTAATTGGTTTCCTTATCTTCCCTGCACATGGGGAATCGCAATGGCTGCACCACCTGGACACCTACCAGACTTCTACATGTTAGCCCTATTTGGTGTTATCTGCATGGTGTTTCGAAGCTCTACATGCACCATAAATGACGTGTTGGATCAGAAGTATGATAGGCTTGTTGAGCGTACAAAAAACCGTCCTTTGGCCTCTGGTTCTCTAACGAACTGTCAAGCTCTTTTATTTTTTGGCTTGCAGCTATTGGTTTTATTTGTGATCTTGTTGCAATTGAGCTGGTACAGGTTGGTTTTGATATTGCAATAAGTTACTTCCTCAAGTGTATTTGTAGGTTTTCTGGTTATGATTCCTCTTATTATATATCCCCTGTTCAAACGATTCACATATTGGCCACAACTTTTTCTTGGTAAGAATCATGGGATTGTTTTCTGACCTCTGTGTGGCGTGGTGTTGTATGTTTAACGTTGAACTGAGGTGTTTGACTTGACTATTCCGCAATAAATGGGTTTTGTTTTTTTCTCCGTGTGCTCTCTTTATACTCGGCTGCAGTGTGTTCAACTCCCGCCTACGGCACTATATATTCTCATCAAGTGAGGATAATTTGTCAGCTGTGTGTTCTGCCACTATCGCTCAGGGATTTTTAAAATTCCTTCTCGAGAGTTAATTGGCTCGCTTGACTGTAATCGACTGGTGAATATTTGTTTTATGTGCTAGCCTATCATTGCCTAGAAAACCCGTAGCACCTTTACACTTCGGTTTTAAAGTTAAAGACTGCATTTATTTGTTCTGTATAGGTTTTTCAGTCAACTGGGGTGCTATGCTGGCCTATGCTGCCATTGTGGGTTATATTAACCCTTCTATCACATTTCCTCTGTATCTGGCTGGCGTCAATTGGACAATGATTTACGACACAATATACGCACATCAGGTTTGTGCAAGTAGTTCATTGGTAAAGTTCTTCTTCCTTCTAGGATGTTAATGATGACATCCTTATAGGTGTCAAATCAACCGCCGTTCTATTTGGAGAGAAAACTAAATCATATTTGGCCATTTTTCACACGGGAATGACAGTGTGTTTTCTCATTGCTGGGATTAATGCTCAGGCTGGTTGGATTTATTATCTCGGGACGTTATGCACTATGTTGCATATAGCCAATATGGTGAGTTGGTGCGTGATATCTACTAAGATGTATATATATATCTTCTTTCATGGCCTCTTGAAATGTCTTTGTCTTGTTGACTAGCATATCTAATTAGGATATTTCTATTTTCCTTCTCATGCATTCATCATTTTATTTATTTTTAGATACGAGAAGTAGACTTGAAGAATCCTGCTTCTTGTTCACAGACGTTTGAAACCACTAGAACATCTGGTCTCTTGTTCTTTCTTACTATTGTACTTGATAACATGTACACCTAATATTATCCCATAAATGTATCACGATTAATTCGAAATAAATATTTCTTTCTATAGGCAACTAAATGAATTGAACTTGTCTTATTTTCTAAGTCTTCGTAAATGTGTATGAATATAAGTGCAGTTTAGTTGAGTTTGGTTAAGTTTGGTTAGATGTAAGGAAGGTAGGGTGGTGGAACAGAGGGCAAATATGTGTCGATGGTTTAATGATAGAACACTCACTCTCCGACCACAGTCCGGGTTTCGATTTCCGGCTGACGATCTACGAGACCTCATTTACCCGGTAGTAAAATCGATGGGTGCGTCAGTTCCACAGATATTAGGACGTACTCCGACTATGCACATGGTCCGGGGTTCGCTTCCCGGACGACGCACTCCTTCATCTCGTTAAGCCAGAAATATTGCTGATAAAGTTGAAATGTTTGGCAGTAAGCTAGCAACTGCATCCTGTAAAAATAAACACTGCTACAGAAACTGCAAGCCACTTGCTTGAAACCCTATGTTCCTCTTGGAACGTGAAGGAAAAATTATTATTATTAATTAAAAAAGTCGATGGAGAAAGGAAGTTTGTATGTGTGGCTGAAAATAAACGCCACTGCTGCTGAAACTTGAAAGCTGAAGCTTGAGGCCGCACGTTTCATTCGACACGCAAAGGAATAGAAAAGGAAATACAGTGTGGTATCAGCTACTCTGTATGACCGGAAATAAACAGTGTTTACCAGATATATCACACAGCGAAACAGTATTATTCACTGGATGACATGGTTTCGAACACAATTTA